CCTAAGCCGAAGAAGCTCTATTTATCAAGAATCGCAACGTCTGACTCGGAGTGGAAGCAGCGGGAACGGTGGAGATATTTATGAATCCGGTGAACGGTAGAGATATTTATGAGCGCAGCTCGCCGATAAGCGACTTCAAGCTTATCGGCGAGCTGCGCACTGAGCTGAGGGAAATTAAAACATCGATGGATTTCTTAAACGAAAAATACGAGGAAGAAAGAAACCGTAATCAGATTATATCCGAAATGTTCTCAGAAATTTCAAAAGACAATCAAGTGTTGAAGGCTAAAGTGCTGAAACTGGAAAATGCTCTTAGTAAACAGTACGCAAATAATATTAAAACAATTTATCCATTTTCTGGTCACCATCTGGTAACGTAAAAGATAAGAAATCTGCGTGGAATTAATAAAACTTTCACTTCATTAAGTGTGCCAGTGAAAGAAGAAAATCTCGAAAGTGTTAGGCTTTATGATACTCCAAATGGTCCTAAGGTTAGTGTCACCCTGGTGAATGCGGATTTGAAGAATAACATTTTAAAAGCACGTGCAGAGCGAGGAAGAATCTCACACAGAAAACTTGGCTTGGGCGAATCCGACCAACCCATTTTCATCGACGAGGAATTAACTAGGGAAATATATCATCTATTCAAAAAGGCAAAAGAACTTAAAACTCGTGGATATAAATATGTATGGCATCGCAATTGTAAAGTGATGGTGCGAAGAAGAGACGATGATGAAGTCATTGTTATAAAAAATGAGACCATGTTGAACGATCTGTGTAATTCTTTGGAAAATTTGTAATCGGTTGGGCTTGCATATGTATGTATACATATTTTTTATTTTTAGTTGTTTACGTTTTCTATATTTGTTTTCTATATTTGTTTTTCATTACACTACTTTATTTTTGTTGTTATTTTTTATTATTCACAATGGCTACTGCAAATATTTCAACAAAAGAATCTTAAATTTGGGTCATGTAAATATTCGCTCACTGTTGCCTAGTCTAGATAGCGTGAGTGATTCTGTTCATAGGTTGGAGTTGGACATATTGGGAGTTTCGGAGACCTGGCTTTCAGAGAGAATTTCTGGTAATAGCATAGAAATAGACAGGATACAATTTTTTTTAGAAATGATCAAGAAACTCGAGGGGGTGGAGTTGGTATTTATATTAAGAATAATATAGTGAGCAGAACAATAGATATTGAGAATTCAGAAAGCATTGAACAGTTGGTTAGTAATAAATAATAATATTAGAGATAGAGTTTAGGTGTATTTTACAGGCCACCTAGAAGTAATTTAGTTGACTCATTGCAGCATATTGAGACTGCATTGGCAACAATTATTCCTATGTCCGATGAAATTTTTATTTTGGGCGATATGTGAATCTTTTAAACTATAATAATGCTACAATTTCGATTAACGATTTTCTCACATCTTTCTCACTTAAACAATTAACCGCAGAACCCACACGAATTGTAAATAATCAGAATAGTCTTATTGATTATATTATTACATCTAATGACAGATTAATTGTTGGAAAGGTATTACATCATGATATGCATGAAGAGACCGATCATCAGCTCACTTTCTGCACTTTGAATTGTATTGCTCCTCGAGAAGCGCCTAAAATTATTAAATACAGGAACTTTAAATATTTTGATACTGAAATGTTCCACGCGGATCTTATAAACCCTTATTGGTATGATGTTCTTGAGGAACCGAATGTGGAAAATAAAGTAATGCTGCTTACTGATAAAGTAAGACAATTGTTTGACCGCCATGCGCCGCTGTGCACTGTACGGATTACCAAGCAAAAGGCTTCATGGTTTACTGATGTCTTAAGGATTATGAAGAAAGAACGTAATAAAAAAAACTGATGTCTAAGTACAAAAAAACAAGAAAGGAATGTGACTGGGCCGCTTATAAAAATATGAGAAATATTTTCACCCAAGCCGTTCGAAATGAGAAAAGGTCGTACCTGGAGTATATTTGTAAGTCGACTGATAGAAGAGTTCTGTGGAAAAGTCTGAACGGTATGAATATTTACCGTAAGGCTAAAACCAACAGAACTCTTCCCAAGCATCTATGTAATCCAAATTCTATTAATAACTTCTTTCTGGACTCCATTAATAAGCTAGCACTGACTGTCGATTCTGACATAGTAAAAAAATACGAAAATGGCCGGGGCTCGAATCATGTTTTTCAATTTAGAACTATACTGGAAGTTGATGTGTTGAATGCTATATCTAATTTAAAATCAAATTCTTGTGTCTTTGATGGGTTATCCCTACAAATGATTAAGTTATGCTCTCCAGTGATTATTCCTTTTCTGGCCCATATATTTAATGGTCTTAGTATAACTTCCCGAGTTTATCCGACTCAATGGAAGGTAGCTACTGTAACGCCTATTCCTAAAATAAATAATGCAGTGGTTTTTCAGATTTAAGACCCATAAGCCTTTTACCTACCTTGTCAAAGATATTTGAAAAGACGATATACATACAACTTGTTAGTTATCTGAACGATTCGAACCTTATACCGCCCACTCAGTCAGGCTTTCGAAAGGGATATAGCGCAGCTTCTGTGTTATTAAGTGTGCTTGACGCCATTATTTTAGCTGATGAAGGTCGAACTTCTGCTTTGATAATGCTGAATTATAGTAAGGCATTTGACACGTTGGACCACATGTTGCTTTGTGCTAAACTTAAGTATTACGGGTTCTCTGTGGCTGCTGTTAATTTCTTTCACAGCTATCTAGTTGATAGGTCCCAGTTTGTTTCGATTAATGGTAATCAATCGGAGGCAAAATTTACTACTAAGGGCGTTCCTCAGGGATCCATTCTCGGTCCGTTACTTTTTATTATATACACCATGGACATGGCAGTGGACGATAACCACTGCAAAATGCATAGATATGCCGACGATACCCAATTACATTTAAGTTTTAGAAAATCAGAAGCATACGAAGCCCAGAACAAAGTTGAACAGTGTTGAAAAAAATATACACTTATTCCAGCAAGAACGGGTTAAAACTAAATCCGACAAAGTCAGTAATCATTTACTTCGGACCAAATAATGACACAGGCAGCCCCGTAACAGAAATAAATGTCTGATTCAGTATCTCCGTAGCAAAGGAATCAAAATATTTAGGACTTATATTTGACTCACAGTTGAGGTTTATATCTCAAGTGAGTAAAGTGGTCAGGGCATCATTCATCTCCTTAGGAAACCTATACAAAAACAAAAGATTTTCTAAACTATAAATTAAAAAACAAATTATGTGAGGCTCTTGTATTATCACAGTCCAATTATTGTAATTTTGTTTTCAGACTGGCCTTGTCTCGATCAAAAATCTAAGAGACAGTTACTGAAAGTACAGAATTGTATTCGCTTAATATACGGATTAAGATCGAGGGACCATGTTACATATAAACTAGATATGTTGAATTGGCTAAATATTGAAGAGAGACAAAAGTTACATTTTGCATGTTTTTTACACAGAATTTTGCGGAATGGTTTTCCTGAGTATTTAACTAATAAACTTAAATTTCGATACTCTAACTATGCTATAAGGCAGTCTAATAATATGGAAATTCCCAAACATCGCACGGCTCTATATCAGCGTTCTTTCTCCTACCTGGCATCCAAGATGTACAATTCCAACTTGAATCCTCACTCATGAGTTTAAAGAACGTTCACTTTTCAAAACAAGGTAAAAACTTATATGTTGAGCGGATATAGAAATTTACAATAATTTGATTTATTAATTTTGTATCCTTTACGGACCAATTTTCATTTTTACTGTTTTTTGCTTTAACTTATTTTCTTTATCTAAAGTATATTATTTAATTTTCCATTTTCTTACTAATTCTTTTTTCTTTGAATGTTATTTTTTAAGAATGTATATTATTTACTTTTATTATATGCTCGGTTAACTTAACAGCTCCTGCTGAATTTCGCCAGTAAAAAATAAAGACATTATTTATTTATTTATTTTATTTATTTATTTTGCATAAAGTCAGTCAATCGAGAATTTTCAAGTTTTGGTAGAATTTGGAGTAAAATTGATGTGCTAAAATAATGTTATTAAACGAACTATTGCGGTTTAGAGTGCTCCAGATTTCATCACCAATTTTTGACTTTAACCATTGCTTTAGTATTTTAGAAACTATATTATTTTCTTGGGTATAATCAGTTTCCAAAACATGTAGAGTGGTATCTTCTGGAAGACTTCCAGAACTAAAAGTTTGTCAAAAGCTTGCCCCCAGATTGCAGATATTTTCAGTATTAGCTTTAGATTTACTTGGGGCTAGAAATATAGGTATTTTTCAGTATTAGCTTTAGATGCACCGTCTAGAAATGATGCAATCAGGTTCCCGGTCGTCGTGGCCCCGTGCGTCTAATCCAGCGTTCCCAGATGTCCAACAAAATACCTGTTTAATACCAAATAAAACCAGTTTATTTCCAAATAATACCAGTTTATTACCGAATAATACCAAATTAGTACCAAAAATACCAAATTAGTACCAAAAATACTAATAATAAGTACCAAAAAAATACCAGTATTACCAAGTGCTTGTACAATAAATACCACCAGCGGTTTGCCCCTCGAGTCTAAATAAACATATGTACCTAGATTATTTCAAAATATTCATTCCAAACCAAACCATTTTCCTTGGAGAGTTCGTGCCGCGCCGTGTAATTATTTAGCTGAATAGCACCCATCAGCATTATAGTAGCTTTAAAGATTCAGACTCCTCTTTGATTGATGATTTTTGTTTGTTGTTGTTAATCTTTTGCTATATCAATATAGTGATTAATTTTAAATTCTTAATTTAGAATTTTAATTTTCAAAGAATTCCCATACAGAAAATAGGACAGTAGAATAGAAGGCGGGATTCTGTGACACGCGATGGCCTATACAACCACATGTTATCACCAATGACCTTGTCACAAGTCCTTTAGTCAAATACTTTTTATTATATTTATTTTATGTTTCAGGAATTTGCCAACAACTTGTATACTCTAAAGATAAGTGAGAACGGAGTAACCAACGGAGATCCGGAAAGGCTGAGGTAATTATTATTGCACGTTTCATCAATATACGCGGCTATCTTAAGTTAAAAATCTAAAAGGATTTTGGACCATTGTCTTTATATATTTTACTTACACAACGTTTTGGTCAGAAATATTACTGACCGTTATCAATTGTGAACTAAGTTTCATACTTGATAACGGCCGTGTTCTTCTTATTCTTCCTCTTCTTCTACTTATTTTAGATCTCTTAATCTGTTAGTTTTAAGGATATCTTTGTATGAGTTCTTGAGAGGTAGACTACCAACCGTCTTTCCATTTTTTTAGAGGTCTTCCAGGCTTCCAGTGTTTCTTACCCACCGCTTTCCCTTTCAGAGCCTGGGGGTGGTAGCCTATTTTCATCCTTGCGTTTTACGTGTGCGAATCATTGCCTTTTTCTTTGTCTACCCCATCTTATTTCGTCCTGTATTCCACATTGTTGTCTGATATCTGTGTTTTTAATTATGTCTCTTCTAATCTTCCCCATTATGGTTCTTATAGGTTCTTCATTTCAGCAATTCTTAACATGTTTTTGGTTTTGGTTGTTTTCTCTTAGATTTCTATGCCATATGTCATTACTGGTCTGATGCAGATGTTTCCGCATGAAGAGGTTTGTCCATATTATTTGCCTCAGGCATCCTGACATGGCCGATGCTCTGTTTTTTGGCTTTTCAAATGCTTCTCTGGATCGTGGCAGTACGACATATCCTAATTGTACCTTAGCCTTTTGTACTTGACAACACCACCATTGACGTCGTAAAATCTGTAAAATTCTTAGGGCCTGTTGTGGACAATTCTCTGAAATGGGACATACATATCGAAGCTTTGTCGAAAAAATTGAGCTCTGCTTGTTTTGCATTAAGGTCTGTTTCTAAGGAGCTTAACTTGTCAGTGGCTAGAACTGTTTATTATGCACTTTTTGAGTTGCACCTCAGGTATGCCCTTCCATTCTGGGGTACGTGTTGTGCGACTCAGATTTGACCACATTTTCAAGCTCCAGAAGAGAGCTGTTCGATATCCACTGGGACTAAACAGCAGAACTCATTGCCGGGACTTTTTAAAGAATTAAAAATATTGACTCTTCCTTCCTTATTTATATTTGAACCAGTTTGCCTAATACGTAAACATGTATCAGCTTCTCAGAAAGGCCATCTCACTTATTCACTCCAGGAACGCGGAGCAAGATCTTTCTCTACCTACCCCACGCTCAGAGTTAGTTAAAAAGAAGTTCAATATTATACAACTCGAAAAAAAATGCACAATCACCTGCCATTTGAAATCAAATCCATATCATTTTTTTCATTTTGCAAAGCACTGAACTCTTATTTACTAGACAAGGCTTTCTACGTCGTAAATGAATTATATTTTGAAAACCGAATTTGATCTTGTAAACACTGGTCTAATGTTTGCTATTGCTATATTTACTAATGACATCGAAATAAATTTATTTAGAGGCCATTGCTATTTTACTATAAACTAACTAAATATTTTTGAATATTATCTTTATTTCTTTGTTCTTTGACATTGTAAACATTTATAAATGTTTATTTTAAAGAATAAGACTGACAATATTATTTGTATAATGTTTTGTATTATCTTTTGTTTGTTTGTTTATGAACTTTGTTTTTTTACTTTGTTTGTTACTTTACCTTTGTCTACAAATTGAAAAAAATTTTGACAATAAAGGCATATTTTTATTTATTTATTTTAATTCTAGATACTGGGATATTTGCCCAATAATTTTGTTTTCAACTATCAATTTGCATCTTACCGAGTCTTTGAAGAAAGTTAAGCATTAAGTTTTTTTTTCTGCTGAGATAATCATGTTTAATTCTCGGCTGACTTGGTAGAATTCCTCAGTCTCCGCGATAATGGCTGCATCATCAGCGTAGCACATCATGCTAACTCTGTTGTGACCCATTTGATAACCTTTATTCATAGAGATCACCTTTTCTATGATGATACCCATTAAAAGGTTGAATAAGAAGGGGCTAAGGCTAGTGTTGCACAAGAGTCTTGAAAAAGTCTTGCAAGACCAAGACTCTTGCAAGAAATTCAAGACAAGACTTTAATATGCAATAAATTTCAAGAGTCTTGCAAGATTTCTTGAATTCAAGATTTCTTGAAAGTTAGAAATGATACATTTTTTTAAATGATAATTAGGTCTATGCGCAACTTATGCCGGGTTTATACAACATTTACATAATCGTAATCACAAACATAGTCATAATCATAAAAGTTAAACTATCCACTTCTTATAAACCTGTTGACATCACCTGACACTCAACGCGATACCGGCAACACTACCCCTCCTTCAGAGTCGTATTTACGAGTCGGGTAACGCATTTCGTGTCAGGTAAAAGTATTATTCGGTAATCCCGAAACACCATCTTGTGGTATTACATTCGATAATTAAGACTGTGATTATGATTACGACTTATGCAAATGTTGTATAAATCCGGCATTAATATTGACCACAGTGTTCATTTTTTTCTATCATAGCCAGTGTTTACGAGTTGAGAATGAAATAAAATAAAGTCGAAGCAACAAACCGTATATTGGTAATTGGTATTATACACAAAATTATATTGGTATAATGGTATTATAAAAAAACTGTAATAAAGAATGTAAAATTTTTCAAGACAAGAAATTTCAAGAATCTTGCAAGACAAGACAAGACTTTGCCATTCAAGAAATCTGCAAGACAAGACTTTGGATTTCAATTGACAATTTCTTGTCTTGAATTTCAAAACAAGATAAGAAATTGATTTTCAAGACAAGAATTCTTGTCTTGTGCAACACTAGCTAAGGTTATCTTCCTCTCTATAATGCTTCCTGGTGTTGGTGCGTCTCGTATTAGGCGATTCCCTTCTTTTACTCGAGTTGTGTTATAGATATCAAACAAAGCGTTCTGATGATTCTCACAATATTATCAGGCACTTCTCACAATATTTTCCGAAAAGTTGTGTAAGTAAAATATAGAAAGACAATGGAAATCCGAAATTGTCTTAGTTTCATTACTGAATCACCTTGTCCACCACACTCAAAGAAATATTGCATTGTAATTGTAAAAGATGTTAAGTCAGATTGTTATATTTATGTAAAAAATGGGTTCATTTCCTCAATTGTCGAAAAAAAAAGAGTGAAAAATCATTGTTACGTTAATAATATTTAAAAGTTTTATTTATGTAAGGTGATTGCCACTAACAAAGTCAGTTAAAGTGCAACAAATCAGTAATATAATATACCGGGTGCGTCTCAAAAGTGGCTCACCCCTATAATTTTTTAATTTTTTCAGGTAAAAAAAACGAGATTTGGTATGTTAGTATGTTACATAAATTAGGATTGATTGACGTATTCAATTGTTTTTGGTCACTTCCTGTTTCAACGGAAATGACTACAACTTTTGATTTTTAAATGGCACCCTCAGTATTTTATCACTCAGAATAAAATTATATATCATATGTCAACTTTTCACATTTTCGCAAATAGTTTATTTGAAATTGTAACATGCGGTTCATAAGCACAATTGCACTCGAAATACCAAGTGTGTGGTACCAAATTACTCGTAAAAAAATGCTTTTTCAAAATATGCTAATGAGCTACTCTTGTTCCATTTGAAAAAAATGAGATATGATTAAAAATACGATTTAGACATCTTTTAACCGGCCAGGACAAGAAAAACATTAGATAGAGAATTATGCAAATCTATTTTTACAAGGCTCCTTTATTAAAAATTAGTGTTTTTTAACCGTTTACACAGCCACGACACTAAGATTTAAAATACGATTTTGTCAGCGAAAATGTCAAAAGTTGGGATGTGGTATTCATTCTATTGAGTTGTAGTAATTTCCGATGAAACAGGCAGTGACTAAAAACAATTAAATACGTCAATCAATCCTAATAAATTAACGAAAAAATTGACATAAATATCATATACTAACAGACCAAATCTCGTTTTTTATCTAAAAAAATAAAAAAGTTATGGGGGTGAGCTACTTTCGAGAAGCAGCCGGTATGTCAGTAGTATCTTACTTTTAAGAAATACAGTAATATTTAAATCAGAAAAAAATTGTGTATGAAAATTGTCATGTATTGTGGCATCATTATTTCGAACATGTTGAACATTTTCCATTTTTTTTATAAATATGTACATATAAACATTTCTTACCGTCAAATTTATTTCACCTGTTTATTTCAGTAACTGTAACTAAATATTATTGGTTTAGTATTACCCATGTATAAAAAATATTATTGTTTTTACTAATATTGCATGTTGCTAACTAATGTGATTTAATAGCATGGCTACGTCAAAGTCCTTTATTAAAGCGAATAGTCAAAGTGAACTTGGTTCAGTGAAACGACGGTTAGATCGTCTAGACTCCCTACGTGGTGGTTCATCTTCCATTAGCGAACCACTTCTAGAAGATACGTTTGGACCGTTAAGTAATGTCAGGTAACAAATCAAAATAAATAATATTGCAGCAACCTTATTGCTTTAGATATAATTACCAACGTAGGATACTGAAAGTGATAACTGAAAACCAGTGTTTCGCCTTTAGTTATCACTATTAACGGGCTATGTTGGAAATTGTTTCTCCTTTTTATCTGCCGTGTCCCTGCCACATCGAGTACAGCCGGAAGCCGGACAGCTTATTCGTGACGTCATCAACTGGAGGCCTAAACTTTGATTGCATTTGATACTCTCTATATAATACGTATATAATGGCTTTAAACTTTATTGCACCGAATTTTTAATAAATAATTAAACATATATAAAATAAAAAAAATCAGACTGATATCCCATCTCGCATTATCCATCGTTATTGTATTTATTTATGCTGTAAGAGTGTTTAACTTTCTTTTATTTCCATTTCCAAGTCTATAATTTACCACAGTAGTTTTTCAGACGTGCCCGGTGGCGTAGAGGTACAGGCTCTCGTCTACCAATCTCAAGGTGTGGGTTCGAATCCTACACTCGGCATTTATCAGCCGACTATTTTTATTAAAATAAAAATAGTTTGGGTACCTAGGTCGACTCAGCCTTAAATGAGTACTTGGGATTCACAATCCTGAGTTAATAATAGGCGGTTGAAGCGTAGCGCTAGCCACATTACCTTCCTTGTATACCGAACGACTCTAGCATGGCAAGCTGTACCTTGCTACTCCCAAGGCGTTAAACGCTATATACGGGAGCTATTATTATTATTATTAATCAATTAATTTAATAAAATAGTTTTTATTGTGAATTCTGAAAAACTCCTCATGACTTTGCAAAACTTTGTTAAATATTTATTCAAATAAAACTATATTAGTTATTTCGTCTTTTGGAAACCTAAGACTGCCTCTAGTAAGGTATTTTTATAATTGAATTTTGTTCAATATCAATGTTGTCTGAAAATGTTAAATTATTCTTACATGTATCGCATTTAATGTTCTTTAAGACAATATAACAGCAACATCCTCCTTAATAAGCACTAAATAACAACAGGCATTTTTTCCTTCACACTTTCGATATCTTGTTCAGAAATAGTAATGTCGATATTAAACCAATCTGATTCGATGGTACTTGTATCGCGTGGTATTTCTGTCTATATTTTTCAAACCTACTTTCAAGAGGATCAGTTTGAAACTTCTCTAGTAAAACATACCTCATATTTAACTCATTAAAACAATATTTTAATACTTCAAGCTCAACTTTTTACTCAACTCAAGTTAATAACTTTAATTGATCACAAATAAAAGTTAGAAATTTATTATTTTCATTACATTTTAAAGAATTTAGTAAATAACAAGCAAGACTCAATAATGTGTTCAGTATTATCAAGTATATTCAACCTAATTTTCATCTTCAGTATCTCCTAAAAGTAGTAAATCGTTCAAATGTTGTATGTTGTTTAAAGAAAATGGAGTTTTTAGATCATTTACCTGGAGTGTAATATTTTGGCCTCCCTATATAAATGTCCTCCATATTTAATAAACAAAAAACGGATTTTTCATCAGTACATGTACATAAATCTTACCAAAGTACACTTTCCTTATCAAAGTGCCGATCAGACACCTTGCTCTATTTTGTCACCACAAATTCATCACGATGAATAGCCTGGAGCCACTTTTTCTAAAAATCTTTATCATTAGAAAAGCAAAAAACGTGGTTTTTGAGGTTAGGCCGTAATTTACAGCGCGGCACGAAACACCTGTGAGGCATTATACCTTTTAAATTGTATAATTGCACACAGTTATAATCACTTTATAGTTTAAACAGCTTTTTAAGCTCTTTTTACAGATTTATAACTTTTTTCACTATTGTCATCTTAAAGTATCCCTTTATTAAATTTGATTGATAAAAAGTGAGAGGCAAACATTTATTGACTGGTATGATTTTTTCCGTATACTATTAAATCTATTTTTATATACTTACTATAATATTTTTAAAAACTCGGATAAAAACATTTTAAAACTTCGAAATATAATAGCTGAGTGAGAAAAGATCCACAATTTGATCTTTTATCTGGTAATTATCAACACTGCTAACTAGAGTTACGCCTCTAGTTTATGACGTCACGAAATTTTTACGTCACAGCAGGATGGCCTTGTAATTTCGCCGATGCCGGTACAGCCGTACAATCCTTTTCTTGAAGCAACTTACAGCACTTCCCTCCTGTAACTTTCTTTTTGATAAAGCACGAATCATAATTTTTAGTTATCAAGATTTCGATAGTCACTGTGATGGACTACGTATTTCCAATGAGACACATCTCCATGAAAGTATTTCTGGCAGCGCCCATGGCAGTTTATAAGTTATTTATTACAGCCGAATCTCAGTCCTTACCGTGCATTCAGTACAAACTTACTAACTCACCTATTATGCATGAATATAAAATGTGCTTGAATTTGTCAAATTAAAAGTAAAAATAATTACAGATCCCATGAGGTTTTTTCTTAGAAAATGGTTGTCCTAATTACGCACGTCTACGTACAAGTCCAAACTATTTATGTTTTTTATAATTAAACTAATTGCACGGTAAGTGTTTGTTGAAATCTAATGCCGGCGCGAAAATGAATATTCTAGTATCTTCGTTAGACCAATAACTTTAGACGAAACTCGACCAAAGATTGAGCAATAGAGAGTTCAAGCTTTTCACCACAGTTTGTTCGAAAAAAAATTACGGTCCTGTCCATAAATTCGTTGTGCGAGAAAGTGTCTGCCATCTTAAGTTTTTTTTTTGGTGTCTCTACAATATTTATATAAACAGTTATGTAACGAAAGAATCTTTATTAGCTTTAAGTATCAAGGAGTATAATAAATTAAAATATAGATATAAGCTCAGTGACCCAATTAATGCTAGGTTCTTAATTACGGCATCCTCCATTTTTGGCGATTCCAGTAAAATTGTACAAATCAGTATATTAGAGGTGGACAAAGATTGAACGAGCCGTTCATTTGAACGAGTAATAAAAATGAATCGTGTAATTCGATTCACTGCTTCGAATACGGTTTGTTCAATTGAATCGTGACCGGCACGGATCCATAAGATTTGAGCGATAAGCCGTAAAAAAGAATCGTAAGAATTGAATCGGATCACAATGCGATCGTTTGTTCAAAGAGTCGTGAAAATTGATTCATTGCTTACAATACGGTACGTTCACTTGAATCTTGGCCAGCACGGATCCAAGATTTGAACGATGAGCCGTAAAAAAGAATCGTGAGAATTGAATCGGATCACAATAAGATGTTTCGTTTCTACGGCGCGACGGTGATGTATAGGCATAGAGTCAGGCACTAATATTTAGACTTGAACAAAAGCCCTAAACAAACATCATGGACATAAAATAAAAACGATATGAATGTTATTTACAAGAAAAAAAACTTATTTAGACTACGGTATCACTTATTTAGACTACGGTATCACTTATTTAGACTACGGTATTAGTACGGTATCTGTAAAGTATTTAACTTTTACGTTAATATTTTTGTTAAAATAATATTACCGACTATAAACCATTAAATGTCGGACTAAAAGACGAAATGGTGTTTTTATGCAACTCCAAATAAATATTGTTGGCCTCTGCTCAATATGATAAAAAAACGGCGTCAGCGATGGTTATAAAATGAAAAGCGCTGTCATTTTATATGTAAAATTATATGGGCAATGTTATCGATGTTCATTTGCAAGTCAACTGGATGCCATTTTTTTTTCGATCATGCGGTATTGTATACCATTTATTTATTATTATATGATTATTAAATCGGAATTAAAATATGGATCTAAAAATATTAAATTGGTATTAAGATGTCATTAATAAATAGTATAATATATGAATTGGATTGATAATTTAATATTATTTGTAAACTAATCAATCCGATTACGCTAGTGTCATAAAATGTTAAAAAACAAATGAAAGAACTGTATATTTCTTTTTCTGGTACCTTAAATAATTGTCCGGTCAAATTATCGCCGGTAGTGCCAGTTACGATTCTTCTCTTTATGAAACGTAAATTGTGCATGTGGTTCGTTCAAATGAGCGAATCGTAGGAGCAGATTCAATATGAGAAATTAAATCGTGTGATTCGATTCACTAAAATGTATCGTAATGCCCATCACTACAGTATATCACAATTTTGTAGAATCATATCAGAGAAAACAACCAGATATAAATCTTTTCTTTTCACTCAACAGATATGCCTACGTTTGTTGCATTATTTTGCTGGTAAAAATAACGTAAAAAGTGCGGTTTGCAATGTAAGATTGTTTCTATCTAATAACATTTAAAATTCGGTTTAGTGACATGAAGATACCCTCTGGTTAGTTCGCAATGAGGTTCCCAACATTACTGTATAATAGTTTTAATAAAAACAGGGGAAACTTATTCCCAATCAATAACAGATCTTTTTAAATAATATGCACCTAATAACGCCAGTGGAAAAAATACTAGAGTTGTTAGGAACTCTACAGAATTAAACGAAAAGAAAAATGCCTCGTCATGCGTCTCTGTGTTGTATGCAATTGTTACATCCAGGAGGAACGTGTAGGACTATCTAAAAGGAATAACTTTTCATTTGTTTGTTTTGAATATGATTCTTAGTTTACTAGCTCGTGTTATTGAATTTTTGTGATGAGTAGGTAATATGCCCTTTTTTATTCTGAAATTTAAGAAAAATAAAACTTTTATAGCCTTGTGGTGTGTTTTTGTCATAGAAATCATAACTGGCGTTATTTGGGAAAAGGTGTTCTTAGAAGTGCCAATTTCAACCGAATATATATTTTTTCACCAATTTAAATTCTTAGAGAAAAAAACAAACCAAAATTAACTAACCGTTTTATCTTCCAATATTTACCGGATACCTAGAGAAAATAATTACAAAAATTGAAACTATTTTGAAGAATATTTAAGAGACTACGACAGAAGAAATCAAATATCAAAACACTTTCCTTCGGTAACTTCTTCTGCAATACTCTGTAGAATTTAAAAAAAATTCTGTCAATTAACCTACATATTCTCACAATCTACTCGGAGCCTCCGTTTCGTATTAGAGGACTGTTACGATAATTGTGGTCATAAGTATATTTTAATATAATAACTTAGGATATTATCGTCGTAATAACTATGTTTTATATACAAAAGCTGTACAGTATTCAATATTCTCTAAATTTCCCAATTTCCCTTTTTTATGAAAACTCAAACAGTGTACACAAATTGCTAAAAAGCATAACATCTAAGATCGTGGGCACTTCCCGTAACAAATTTGTGGGTAAAACTTGCAACCTCTAATTTATTGTTGAAAAAATCTAAAGTTATAGGGCTATATCTTTGTAATAATACCGCCTTCATTCCTCGACAGGTTTGCCGTTTTTGCTTTGGGATCCAGCGCCTACCCTAATTTTAGCGCCTTCGGCAAATACGTCGACAATCTGTTGGGGGAGCTGGGAGGTGAGAGGCTGTTGAAATTAGCTACCGGAGATGAAATGTGCGGACAGGAACAGGCCTTTATGAAGTGGGCACCGCATATTTTTAAGGTAATATGTTAATAAGATCTGTCTTATTGAATCTACGCGCTAATAAATAATTTTAGAAAGATAAATGCACCGATAGAAATATGTTCTTGCACCTATCAAGAAGTATACTCTTGTCTAGGGTATCCATAGAATTTTTTTGAAATTCCGCACCAGTGAGCTTCGGACGAAATCCAGACTTATATACAAAAATGAATTATGAATTTATTTATATACAGTATGTCTAACGAAGAGAATACCTGACAGTCGGAGTTGTTGACTTTACTTTAAGGGAAAAATTAAAGGCGTTTGAAAATATGTTAATTATAATCATTTGCCTTTGTGCAGAATCTCAGAATCGGCTTATCATTTTTCAATAGAAGCTAAAACTTTGAGCCTTTCATTAGTTAATGGACACTTTAGTGTAAAATCGCTTATATCTGGGGCTTACTCAACCGGGTCTCACAATGCAAATTCACCTCAAATATCCATTTAGTTGGTCATTGGCAAGCACTCTCTCATTGTACATGAAAATAACAAAACAAACATTTACTGATCTGCATAAAATTGATTGTTAAATAGTAAGACTCACCCGGGGGTACTCCGCCCCCTAGCCACTGATATATTCTATTCAATATATCCCATTCCATATTTTCCATCTAATCCAAATATCATTCGGTTATATATTGGTTAATCATCTTCAACAACTAGCTAGTGTCACCTGAAATAGTATAGGGGCTTCCCCCGGACGCAAATCTGCCGCTAAACAGATTCGCATCCCAATCCAACGCCGCAGCGTGTCAATCGAGAAGACAAGGGAGACCTCAAACTCTCAAGACCAACCTCGAAGGCAAGACGTCACAAGAGGTTTTCTTCTCATGGTCAAACGACCCGTTGCCTTACAGTACATGCAACGTTTATAGTCACAAGACTCGAAACCCCCAAATGTCAGCTCTATGACAAAACACAACAGCCGGCCGGTCCGTCTGCTACTGACCTGCCGCCGCAAGCTAAGCCTCCTCTTACATCACAATTTTACCTGATCACAAATATTTACATCGCTTGCCAATGAACTATTTTATCTAATCGACTTTCAAATAGAGTGTTTTAGCATTACTAGATAAGTAAATAGAGAGTTTCCGAAGGAATGCATATTCTTTATTAGAATAGTGAATAAATAAAAGCATTATTATAACGAACTAATTTTCCAAGTTTTACATTAGTTTTGGCATTATAACTTGTGGGGGTGCACTAAAAGCGGAAAAATTGTTTTTTAACTTCTTTAGGATGGCTCAAAGAATTGTGCGTGCATCGGGATGATTTTTTTAATGGGACACCCTGTATATTATTGCATGCTTCCTTTCAGATCACTTTACATAATTCTAAGATATGAATAAATATACAGGGTGTTTCAAAAAACATGTGCCGCCATCTCTCGTGGGGAGATTCTTCACGTAAAAATATGATTTATTTTTCATATCAACATAGGTCCGATTCTGCTTTGTTTCGTAGCTACAGGGTGTTAAAATCTTAATATTTTTTCGATTTATTATAATTTCCTTCCAAGTACTTTTAGTGTTTCGAATAAAATTATGAGGGTTAAAGTTACTATAAATGCGATATATTTTAAAGCTAATAAAGTGTCGACATATTCACCAGGGACGTGCGTATGGGTTATCACTGGAATATTCTTCTAAAAAAGCAAGTACGCCACTGACTTTTTTCTCTTGTTAGCGAAGTAGTGTAAGCAGTTTAATAAAGACTAAAAGTTCTCTCTTGGTATTTTGTCGATTTCGGCCTCCCTGATGAGATAAATGCAATTTTATAAATTTGCCTTGATCCAAGTCTAAAGCGGCCCATACATTATCAAACAAATTGCGCAACACAGACTGTTACGCATCGAGTTGCCAATGTATGGTAACGTTTGATGCGTTGCGCAATTGTTTGATAAATTTCAAGGATGTTTGAATTCTTTTGTGCAACAGGCTTGTGCGTAGCGCGTTGTGTAGTGTATGTGTGTGTGTTGCGCTTCGTTGTGCAATATTTTAGTTCTTTCATTCAAATTCGTTGTTTTCTTTTTCGTTCTTTGGTATCATTGACATCATCTAGGGTATATACGATAATAATTGACGCAATTGCAATTGAGGACATAATTGTTTCTCAAACAATGCACAACTTTTAATAACAAGTTTGATGAAAATTTTACTAAGTGCATGGGTGATGCAGTTGTGCAACGGAACGTTGCGCATCGCTTTGTTGCGCAACTTGTTTGATAATGTATGGGCCGCTGAATCAGTTGTGCAACGCAACGTTTCGCATCGCTTTGTTGCGTTAACCTAAAAAAAATAAATTGCTTATACCCTATAACTTTTGTATTTAAGTTTTTGCGGTACCTCGTATATTCTACCCAATAACCTACCGTTTCCATACATATCATCGACCCTGTATAATCATTATCATTAATATGTGCTATAAATATTTAATTTTATTGTAGCTTTCTTGCGAGGCATTCTGTTTAGACGAAGACGAAAGTTTTTTGGAAGCAACAATCACATTGCAAAGCGAGTCGTTAACACAACAAAATGTCAGGTTTGTTGAATCAAAACAAGACGAAACAGCAAGTGCCTTAGCCAAATGTCACAATAAAAAGGTAATTTGTGAAATGACACATTCATTTATGTCCTATTTCTAAAAAATGTATATTTTTAAAGGTTATTTCGACGACACTGGTCAAACAACAGAATCTTCTCAACGAAAAATCATCAAAGGCGACTTTGCTGTTGGAGTTTAGCACCAATGTAGTTTATAAGCCAGGTGATCATATCGGAGTATTTCCAATGAACCGTAAAGCGTTGGTAGATATTATTCTGAATAGAGTAAAATGCAATACTGATCCAGATTCACCGGTAGAGTTGCAGATACTAAAAGAAACACACACTTCCAACGGTAAATATTGGTATATTATTATACTATTATTACTTATTATTACCTAGCAATTATATGTCCAAGTGGAGAATATATTGTTTTTTGTCAATTTATATATTTTATAGAGTTTAAGGACCACCCTTTTGCAAGGGAAATAAACTGCTGAGGCAACACTACTTTAATTTAATTAATTACAATTAAATCAAGGAAGAAATAAAAAAGATGCGCAACTTTATTGGCCATTTGGTGATACAAAACCTGTCCGAGATGTAGCTGGCGTTACCGTCAGCCTGTCCGAGAATTCTAAATTTTAGTTTAGCTGTGCGCTGCTACGCGCTGATAGTCGTTTACAGCGCAGCGGATAAAGAATACTGTACCGTAGCAGACCGTAATTTTGCTTTCAGTCGACAGAGTGACTGGTTGCCGGAGACAGCGTTGCCAGAACTACTGATTAATCAGTAGATTTACGGATTTTGACGTACATTAATAATACGTTAATATTATAGATTTTCTAGCATTAAACAATTTAATATAATATTATATGATTAAACAAAGAACGACGTAAGAGTTGGCTTGGAAATAAAGATCGCTGTTATTTCATATATAAAATATTATAGTAAATGTCCATAATTATAATTTCCAAGACAACTAAACGACTTTTTTCGATTATACGACATACTCAGTAGGTACCTATAAAAGAATTTTTATTTTTGTTGTTTATTCTAGATTTAACACGAATAAATTTTCAATACAAAAACGCGGATTTTTCATCTAAAGATATTTTCGTCAAACGTATTACAGATATTACACCTTTTAATATGGCAACGCTGTCGCTTTCAGTTCCACACCGTCTTCGATATGCCTTCGCGGGCTGAATTAATGAAAATAAGTGTTTTATGCATTGACCGCGGAACGATTGGTGTCTCCACCGTACAGCACTTCAGACGTAATGGGAAATCAAACCAGCTTTGTCACGAATTCGCCCGTTAGGTTGCGTATCTTCCCAATTCTTTCAATGAACGATTAAATTACAGTTGAGGGTGATCACAACCTTTGGTGTTACACAGCAAAATAAAAACACTAAATCACCAAAATCCACCAAAACACTTACTTTTACACTGGACGCGCGTTTCGCTAACCATGTTAGCATTATCAGCAGATGATTAAAAACTAGAGTTTTACTCTCGTATTGGTGTATTGTGGCGATTTAGTGTTTTTATTTAGCGATTAAATGATGAAAAATTGAGTCCGTGTGACTTTGTAGTTGTCTCTGATGCTTCTAGCGTCTTTATGCAATTGCAAAACAACTGCCTGTAAAATCGCAAACTTTTCACTGCGCTGTCGCTTGGAGATTGCATGATAGTTAGGTTGGTGCGGAAGTGCTGAACTGCTCACACTTACATCAACAGCAATTGACAAAAATCAACTTTAAATCAATAAGAAGTGGAGTGAAGGCGGATTTTCATGTGTCCGATGTCCGATCGATGTCGATATCAGACGATACGATAATATATATCTTAATTTTATACAGGATGAGTCTTAAATAAGTGCAAATATTTCCAGGGCTCAAGGGCTGGTAGCCCGATAAAAGAAACATATTTTCTCTTTACCGTTTTTTAAATAAGTACAAAGTAACCGAGTTATTTTACTTTGAATATAAAATAAAATTGCTTAAATTTTGGGAGCCACTGAATCTTTTCTGGGTTTCCTTTGTTGTAAATTTAATCTACTACCTATGTTGCTACATATGAATCAGGGACGTGCATATAGGTTACCACTGGAATATTTTTCTAAAAAAGCGTGTACGGCACTGACTTTTTTTCTCTTGTTAGCAAAATAGTGTAAAGCAGTTTAATGCCGATTAAAAGTTGTCTCTTGATATTTTGTCGATTTCGGCCTCCTTGATGAGATAAACGCAACTGTATTAATTTGCCTTGATCCAAGTCTAATATAGCAAGCTTTTAAACATTTTAATAGCATTAACTTGCGGAAGTTTTAAATAAGTACCCATTGATTTCTCGTCAAAAAATATGAAAAAAAGGTGTAAGTAGTTTTAGAGTTACAGTATGTTAAAACTTTTTAAAATTAGATTTTTTTAATTATTTTAAATACCTTTATTTTTTTATTTGAAATTGCTGTAGGTTGGACTAATAGTAAACTCTGACTAAAGACCAAGGGCGTAGATAAGGGGGGGATACTGGGGGACAGTACCCCCCCCTGACGCTTGACGAGATACGAGAATTGAAATAGTCATTGACTATGAAAGGATTTTTTAAAATTAATATCCGACATATAAGAACACTTTGTATGCTTTTAATTATGTTGATTTATCGTTTATAATATGTTCGACCTAATTAAAAGCACACAAAGTGTTCTTATTGGCCAGAGACAGATTAGTGGGGTTAACTCTAATCAATATCCATAAAGATATTGAAAAAATGTTGATGCTGTTATTGATAGGTTTTCCAAACAGCGTACTAGAAAACTTGATTTTTGTTTTGTAATTTTATTTATAGTTTATAGTTTTATAGTTTTTTTGATAGTTTAGAGTTTTTATTTATAGTTTATAGAAAATTAACTAATAAACGTCGTTGTTTCATTTTTGTTTATGTTATTTACAAATCTATATTTTAATTTTTGTGTTATGTTTTTATATCTTTGTGAAGACAAAAAAATCGCCGTCGTTTTAATTCGACAAAAAAATTCCGACGGTGATTATTTTTGCGACTTAATCATAGTACCACCCCCATAGCATACACCTATCTACGCCCCTGCTAAAGACTCAATAATCTGAAATAGACTCCGCTTGGGCCACTGCAATTTTTCTCATTCGCTCACCCTTTTCATAGGATCCTATCCCTCAATGTCCTTACTGTGCAGAAGTGACCTCAGAAAAACATATTTTAGTAGATTGCAGAACTCTAAAGATTCTTAAAAGAAACTTAAATCTTCCAAACTCTTTAAAACATCTGTTAGCATTCAGCAATACACCTGCTCTATTCCAGTTTATAAAAGAAATAAACATTTACGGAAAGATATAATTGAGCAATGAACTGGTAAATAATGCAAAGTAACGTTATCGGCGTGTATGCAGTGTTATACTGATCAACGAATCAGTTCAAACGAATCAAGGCAATTTAAAGGCATTTCTGGTGTGGAAAGGACAAAACGGTGAAACACGTCAACTTTATTTTCGAAGGGGAAATAAGATGCGAATATTTTTGAAGCCCCTAATTCAAACCCCACGCGGGGGTGACATCCACCCTTAAAATCTTAAATGTAATGCGGGGCGAGCAGTACATCATTTGAAAGGTTATTAAAGCCTCTTTTCAGCGCCGTCTCATTTTTGGAGTTCTTGTCACATTTGGTGGAATCGGGCTGAAAAATAAACTTTTCATAAATTGATGATGCTTTGATATTTGATTAATTGAACAGGAATGGGGTCTAAAATAAGAAATTTAGATTAATGGACAATTGACAACAGCCACAGGAATAAGTAAGAGTAGTGTTCACAGGATACTAAAGTTCCACAAATTCCATCCTTACAAACTTCATCTGGTCCAAGAATTGAACGAAGATGATTACGACAGACGATTACAATTCTGTGAAGAACTAAGTGAAATGCTCATTGCTACTTCACGTCTTCTTTTCAACATATGCTTTTTGGATGAATGTACATTTTTCCTCAATGGAACAGTAAATCGCTACAATTGTCGCTACTGGTCTGATACCAATCCTAGAGAATTCCGTGAGGTTCATACTCAGTACCCTGAAAAATTAATGTGTGGGATGGAATCTTTGGCGACTGTCTAGTTGGCCCGTTCTTTCTGGATGGAAATCTAAATAGAAATATGTATCTGGATCTTTAGGAAAATGCCCTAAATCCCAGCATTACACAAATAATTGAAAATGAACATCACTAAAATCAACTTGTGTTTCAACAAGATGGAGCTTCTCCACACTATGCTGTACGTGTGCGGCAGTATCTCGATGAAACATTTCCCGGTCGGTGGATTGGAAGAAGGAGACCCTTTCTTGAATAGCCAGCTATGTCACCGGATTTGTCTCCGCTATTTTTTTTTTATGGGCACATCTCAAAACTAAAGTATCCGCCACGCAACCGGAGACAGTAGAAGTATTACGTCAAAGAATTGTACAGGGTGGTCGAAATTGTCGAAATTGGTGGTCGAGTTTTAACAGAGAAAGCCTATTTCCTGACTAGATAGAGCAAAACCGACATAGATGTCATGGGCTCGATTTCTGAGAAACGTTTAATGGCGTAAACCACCTGTTGATATTTTCACTGCCAACTGAGATATGTGGTCTTTTTGAATTTTTTACCATTTGGAAAATTGCCCAAAACTTTTGTATTTCGCGGAATAATAAAATTCTGTAAACACGTTCTTAAGGCACTTTTTTAACCACAATCCAGTGGCGTAGTCAGTTTTTTTCTATGCTTGCTCTTTTTATCAGAAATAATGAAAAATATAATTTTTTAAATAGAAATCATGGTTGGCTATGAACTTAAAAAAATGCTGGCGTTTAACACTTTCCAACGATATAAAGGTAAGAGTATCTATTTCTAAGAATGGGAGAAATATTAGGTTTTTTATCTTTATATCGAAGCGGGCCTTGATTTTGTGTAGACCTATTTGCCTAATTATTTTTTATCACAATTTAATATTCTATATAATTATTTATTTGCATAATTAAATATTTTTGAAAAGGTAAATTAACATTCTATATTAGTATTAATAATTACAATTGAACTCGATACAATAAACAAAGAACAAAACTAACAAAACGTATTTTTTGAGTGACGAATATAGTTTTCTAAAAAAGATCATGAAATATGTTCAAATCTGAGCACCTCCTTGTTGAATACATGTGCGCAAAAGATGTTTATTGCATCTTTTGCGCACAGGGTTACAACAATTTATTAGGCAAACTGGTGTAATAACACCAAAAGCTTGCCTAGTAGCCTTCTGGAATTCTTCTCTCATCCCAATGATTCTTCCCATTTATATAAGGCCTTTTAATTTCCTCCATAAAAAAAGTCGAAAGGAGTTACATTACAGGGCCTAGGAGGCCAAGATATGGGATCCCTTGTTCCATTCCAATTCTCTCTAAATTCTCCATTTAATAGTACAGTTGTAACCCGGGCTTTTTAATTGAAAATTGTAATACTAATATATAATGTTGATTTACCTTTTCAAAAGTATTTAATTATGCAGATAAATAATGATATAGAATATTAAATTGTCATAAAAAAATAATTAGGCAACAACAAAATCAAGGCCCGCTTCGATACAAAGATAAAAAACCTAATATTTCTCTCATTCTTAGAAATAAATACACATAACTTTATATCGTTGGAAAGAGTTAAACGTCAACATCTTTTAAGTTCACAGCCAACTATGATTTCCATTTAAAAAATTATATTTTTTATTATTTCTGACAAAAAGAGCAAGCATAGAAAAAAACTGACTACACCACTGGATTGTGCTTAAAAAAGTGCCTTAAGAACGTTTTTACAGAATTTTATTATTCCGTGGAATAAAAATGTTATGGGCAATTTTCAAAATGGCAAAAAAATTTAAAAAGACCCCGTATCTCTGTTGGCAGTGAAAATATCAACAGGCGGTTTACGCCACGAAACATGTCTCAGAAATCGAGCCCATGACATCTATATTGTTTTTGCTCTATCTAGTCAGGAAATAGGTTTTCTCTGTTAAAACAGACCAATTTCGACCACCCTGTACACGAGTGCGCGGTTATAACACCCGAAATATTACAACACGTCCGAGAATGCTTTGAACAGAACCTGTATTCGTGCATGGGAGAAGGAGGTGCTCAATTCGAATATTTAAACAAGTAATTGTTTCAAAGCAGGGTAATAGTTTTTGTGTATTATTCATTAAGCAAAATCTTGTTGATTTTGTAAAATCGCTATTTTTGGGGCTTACTCAACCGGGTCTCATAATGCAAATTCACCTCAAATATCCATTTAGTTGGTCATTGGCAAGCACTCTCTCATTGTACATGAAAATAACAAAACACACATTTACTGATTTCGATAAAATTGATAGTTAAATAGTAAGACTCACCCGGGAGTACTCCGCCCCTAGCCACTGACATCACTGACATTCTATTCAATATATCACATTCCATATCTTCCATCTAACTCAAATATTATTCGGATCTATTGGTTAATAATCTTCAACAACTAGCTAGTGTCACCTGAAATAGTAAAGGGGCTTCCCCCGGACGCAACTCTGCCGCTAAACAGATTCGCATCCCAATCGAATAGGCTAATTGGGGTACCTCACTACCCCAACGCCGCATCGTGTCAATGGAGAAGACAAGGGAGACCTCAAACTCTCAAGACCAACCTCGAAGGCAAGACGTCACAAGAGGTTTTCTTCTGGTCAAACGACCCGTTGCCTTACAGTACATGCAACGTTTATAGTCAAAAGACTTTCAACCCCCAAATGTCAGCTCTATAACAAAACACAACACAACAGCCGGCCGATCCGTCTACTACTGACCTGCCGCCGACAAGCTAAGCTTGTCCTCTTATATCACAATTTTACCTGATCGTAAATATTTATATCGCTTGCCAATAAATCATACTATTTTCTCTAATCGACCTTCAAATAGAGTGTTTTAGAATTACTAGATAAATAAATAGAGAGTTTCCGAAGGAATGCATATTGTTTATTAGAATAGTGAATAACTAAAAGCATTATTATGACGAACTTATTTTCTAAGTTTTACATTTTAATCTAAATTTCTTATTTTAGACCCCATTCCTGTACAATTAATCAAATATCAAAGCATTGTTGCGGACCCGTGTGGACTCGACCTAACCTAACTATATGTCCCGCCCTCAGATGACCTTAACATCGCATTAAAGAATAGACACCGTAATGATTCATTCGTTCGAGAAGAATCGAGTCCCACTGGAATGGACTAGTACATACGAGAACATTCGAAAACCTTCTCTACGCACCTAACGAAAAGCCGGCGGCTGTGGCCTACAGGGGGCAGTTATAAATATACCAGTGCAGTTATTTCGCGCTAAAATTCAAAATAAATTCTTAGTTATAAATCGTTTGTAAATAGTTCTATAAGTCTTTTATCGTTATTGTTTTTGTTAATTAGTGTTAAATAAATAGTGTTTAAATAAATTGTGACTTTCTATCCACACGGAACCGACGAAAAACGTAACAGCATCATCAATTTATGAAAAGTTTATTTTTCAGCCCGATTCCACCAAATGTAACAAAAACTTCAAAAATGAGAAGGCGCTGAAAAGAGGCTTTAATAACCTTTCAAATGATGTGCTACTCGACCCCGTATTACATTTAGGATTTTAAGGGTGGATGTAACCCCCGCGTGGGGTTTGAATTAAGGACTTCAAAAATAATCGCATCTTATTTTCCCTTCGAAAATAAAGTTGACATGTTTCACCGTTTTGTCCTTTTCACACCAGAAATGCTTTTTTAAATTGCCTTGTTTCGTTTGAACTGGGTCACCCTGTATAATATATAATTGTATTGGTTGCTTAATGGTCCTAGATGCTGACGTGACCTTAATAAAATTCTCTCTCTCTCTCTCTCTCTCTTAGGCGTAATAAAGAACTGGGAAGCCCACGACAGAATCCCACCTCGTTCTTTACGAGACTTATTCACTCGGTTTGTGGACATAACGACTCCTCCTTCTCCCAATTTGCTGCAGCATTTTGCCAGCATTGCCAGTGACAAAGAAGACCAGAAAAAGTTGTATCTATTGGCTTCGGTAAGTTACCGTTTTTATTAAAAATGTTTTGTTTTTAATTGGTGGTTGTTCAGCAATTTGTTAAATATATATTTTCTTTTTTGAATCTATTGCGAGTGTAAAATTACTTATGTAGAGCGCTAATAATAAAATCAAAGATCTCGCGTTAAGTGGAAAATAACTCAAGAACCTGGTAGACTCCATCCGTAACCTGGAATGGGAATCCTCCAACGGACTAAGACACTCGAACAAATTTCTCAGAACTTATGACCGAGAAAAATCAAATATTTTCTTTGATTTAAGTGAGAACAATGTTCGGATTGTCACGAGTTTTTTTAACAGGGCATTATCTCATTAATGAACACTTCAGCAGATTGAAGCTAAGAAATAACGACGAATGCAAAAATGGGGCATCAGCAGAACACTTCATCACGAGTGCGCTGAGACGACAAACATTTATGCCTTAAACTTTGGTATGGCTAATATCGGAGATATGGAGACCGTCTCTGTAGAACCGTCCCAAAAGCTGTAGGTAACACGTGCATTAAGAACAGCGAGCGTCAGACATTCTATTATTTCAATAGATGCAAAAAATGTATAAATGCTAACCTACTATACAGGGTGTTTCAAAAAACATGTGCCATCTCTGGTGGAGAGAACCCTCACGTAAAAATAAAATTTATGTTTCATATCAACATAGGTTCGATTCTGTTTTGTTTCGTAGCTACAGGATGTTAAAGTCTTAATATTTTTTCGATTTATTATAATGTTCTTCCAAGTGCTTTTAGCGGTAAAAGTTACTATAACGACATATTTTAAAGCTAAAAAGTGTCCACATATGAATCAGGGACGTGCATATAGGTTACCACTGGAATATTTTTCTAAAAAATGCCTGTACGCCACTGACTTTTTTTCTCTTGTTAGCAAAATAGTGTAAAGCAGTTTAATGCCGATTAAAAGTTGTCTCTTGATATTTTGTCGATTTCGGCCTCCTTGATGAGATAAACGCAATTGTATTAATTTGCCTTGATCCAAGTCTAATATAGCAAGCTTTTAAACATTTTAATAGCATTAACTTGCGGAAGTTTTAAATAAGTACCCATTGATTTCTCGTCAAAAAATATGAAAAAAGTTGAAAGGAAATGCATAGTTTTAGAGTTACAGTATGTTAAAACTTTTTAAAATTAGATTTTTTTGATTATTTTAAATACTACCTTTATTTTTTTATTTGAAATTGCTGTAGGTTGGACTAATAGTAATAATAACTACTAACTAAAGGTAAAATATATAAATCTATTAATTTTATTTTTATTAATTGTGATTAACAAAATTGCGTTTATCTCATCAAGGGGGGCGAATTCGACAAAATATCAAAAGATAACTTTTAATTGACATTAAACGGCCTACACAATTTTGGGCGCACATGTTTCTTTTTCAATATTCCAGTGATAACCCATATGCTCCCTGATGAATTTATCGACACTTTTTTAGCATAAAAATATGTAGCACTTATAGTAACTTTTAACCTCAAAATTTCATTCCAATCACTAAAAGTACTTGAAAGAAAATTACAATAAATCGAAAGATTATTAAGATTTTAACACACTGTTGCTACGAAGCAAAGCAGAATCGGACCTATGTTGATATGAAAAATAAATCTTATTTTTACGTTAGCAATCTTTCCACGAGAGATGGCACATGTTTTTTGAAACACCCTGTATAGTGGTGTAGAATTTCTCATAAACAAGAAATAAGAAAACACTATCGTTTCTTTGGCAAGTATCTTAGATCGAGTTGCTGCTTTAGTTAAAACGAAGGTCATCAATAATAAACTTATGAATATTTAGGGCATTGCAACCAATGATGCTACATTGGAAAAAGTACATGAGTTTATATTCCTCTGTTAATTTCCCAAAGGTGCCCGAACCAAAGTTTTGAATCAATTAATCCAAGTAAATTCGTGGCCACAAGTAAAAACAAGGATGGACCACATAAGGATAGAGTAGGGAAGACAGAAGATCCAGGGAGCAAAGAGCAAAAATAATCTTCAGAGCACTTAGCAGTGGCGGCTCGTTGTTATTATTGTAGGGAGGTCAATATCTAAAAATATTGCGTCGATTTTTTTAAGACGCGACCAAATTAATTGGTTTCTTACAAGGTACTTGTACGTTTAGTTAAAGGAAAATAAATCTTAAAATAAATACAAATTATGTTAAAATGGTGCCCGGTGGCGTAGAGGTACAGGCTCTCGTCTACCAATCTCAAGGTTGTGGGTTCGAATCCCACACAGCATCAGCCGACTATTTTTATTAAAATAAAAATAGTTTGGGTACCTAGGTCGACTCAGCCTTAAATGAGTACTTGGGATTCACAATCCTGAGGTAATAATAGGCGGTTGAAGCGTAGAGTGCTAGCCACATTACCTTCCTTGTATACCGAACGGCTCTAGTCTGGCAAGCTGTACCTTGCTACTCCCAAGGCGTTAAACGCTATATACGGGAGCTATTATTATATTATTATGTTAAAATGAAACCTACCCTAACATTTTTAAACAGGTGTCTAGTGCCATTTCACAAAAAATTCAGTCAATGTTCTTTACATAAATTTTCCACAGTAAGATTTAAAAGACACTTAAACAATAATGTCACAAAAATATAAATACATATATACCTACACATACACATTTCTAAAAGTTCTGTTTCACATTTTTTTATATTTTTAGTCAGTTCTTTCTCTAAACGTTTTTCGAAATTTAAGCAATTGTTTTCTTTTAACCGCACGATTTTACAAACTAAACACCATATGTTGTCTATTTGAAAATATATATTCCAGAATCAGCCAACAAGAGTTCAATCATTTATCCAGATAACCAGAAAATTATGAATTATTACCTACACAAATTTCGTGCTGCATCTCAAACCCTCGGCTTTATATTGACTAAACCGAGGACTAAACCAAACATTATAACGCGATAAACGATACAAAACCGTATGTTGTTTTATAATTTGAGTTTTTATAAACACCCAAACTGCCCAAACGGCGAAATTTTTCTAGCAATATGACTGAAATCCTGTAATATATTTATATAGAAATAATCGAGGAAATAATGGCACTCGATATTTCTTAATAAAATATATTGCTTCTCAACTAATAAACAATATTACAAATTATAATAATAACTCGCTGGGGGGGGGGGTTCTAGACAAAGACAAAAACCGCCACTTTTTATATCGTCTGTCAGTAAACTACCAATAACAAGTGAATATAAAGTGTTGCCTACCTTACAAATCATTTTATGAATGACGCGGTCAATGGCCAATATAAACTATATTTATCGCATCTCAACCCATTATATTTTCTATACGCAGTATACCTTACCTTGTTGGCGTCACGAGCCGCGGCACTTGGAGTTTAAAGCTGTACGCACACTGGCGCGATCACGGCCGCGATCACGATCACGATCAGGGCAGCAATAATATGAGCGATCATTCTAGCACACACCAACGCATTCACGTTCACCGCCGCACCTATATGTAGTCAGCTATCCTGTAGGAATGATCGCTCATGTTATCGTTGCCCTGATCGCGATCGTGATCGCGACCGTGATAGCTCCAGTGTGCGTGTAGCTTTATACGTGTAAAACATAGCGGGAATGAAGGACAAAATGAAATTTTGACCGGCAGTAGAGAAAATGGGTAAAATAAAATGTTTTCAAGCGAAAATTGGGTAAATTGGGAATAGTTTTGAATATTTTAGGATGAAAAAAAGTGATTTACAAAAAGTATAATTTAAATAAGTTTTTCTAATTTTTTCCTGATTTTTTTGGAGGGCATTGACCATTTGACCTCATGATTAAGCCGCCACTGGTACTTAGGTGCCTGAAATTGCAACATTTTCAAAATCAGCCAGGATCATAGAAACTTAGTAGGCCAGTATTCTTTGGGACATCTTTCATTTCAAATAAAATAGCTACGTTTCCTGAAAAAACAAATCGAAAGTTTCATTGTATATTTTAAGAATATTCCATTAGTCATTAATAAAGCATTGTTAATATTACATATTATTATAATTTAAATAGGACTCATCTGCTTATGAAGACTGGAGACACTGGAGATTTCCCAATTTAGCTGAGGTTTTAGAAGAATTTCCTTCCGTTCGACCCTTTGCACCTTTATTAGTGGCCCAATTAAGTATATTGCAACCAAGATTTTATTCTATTTCATCGTCTCCCTTACTTCATCCAAACCAGATTCATTTGACTGTAGCCGTGGTGGTTTATCAAACACAAGGTTAGTTGGATTTTTAGATTGTCCTTCCTTAAGTATACAGACTAAACATACTTTTCATTAACACAACGTTTCGGTCGGATATATAGTGGATATCGAATTTCTTTGTCTAAGATGCGTTATTTTGTTAAAGTTAACTTTACTTTAACTAAAACCATTTTTCGTCATTGGAAAAAGTGGTTGTGGACATCCTGCCTCAGTGATATTGGCCCAACCCCTCAAAACATGATATATGTGAATTTATCAATAAATTAAACACATGCGTTTAAATAATATCGAATATCGAATGCATCTTCCAACAAGATGGTGTTGCTTGTCATACGGCTAAAAAGGTATAAGATTGGATGTTAAAAAACAATATTTTACTCTTCAAGTGGACGTGCAGTAGCCCAGATCTGTCGCTGAAATGTGGCATCATGAAGAAACGTTCCAGAATTGAGAACGCGTCTACAAGAAATTTAGAATAGTTGACTATTCAAACATGACACAGACACATGACACATATTTAGTTGACTGCAAAACATGACACTATGTCAAGACGTATCGAAGCAGTAATCACTGGAAAAGACAATTGTAACGCAGTAATAATTTAGTGTTATTTGGTTTCGTTTGATTTGTTTTAATTGACACTCTTTTTAATTTGTGACACATTTTTTTCTTTGTTACAAAAAAATAGTATATTAGGTTACAAATGAATAAAAATATCGTATGTTATGAGAAATACCGGGTCCGTCTCAAAAGTGGCTCACCCCTATAACTTTTTTTATTTTTTCAGATAAAAAAAAACGAGATTTGGTATGTCAATATATGACATAAATTAGGATTGATTGACGTATTCAATTGTTTTTGGTCACGTCCTGTTTCACCGGAAATGGCAACAACTTTTGATTTTTAAATGGCACCCTCGGTACATTTTTACTTTATTCGATAGAAAATGACACTCCCAACAAGCATCTAATTGCTGGAACATTGCCAAAACTTCGCAAAGCAAGGTGTAACATTGCTTTTTTCATTGTAGGGAGGTTTATGCAAGGTGGTAGGGTAGCTTAAACTTCCGCCAAATTTACATTGCAGTGCAAGGTTGAAAAACACGATATTATTGAAACGTTGCTAATGTAACGTTCAGGAAAGTACTGCTTTAAGATAATATAATAGTAATATTGTTAATTTTACGTCAATGCAATATTGGTAAAATTATATTGTACCTATGTTTCAAAACTTTTATTATCCATTAAACTTTCTAATTTGTTATAACTTATTAACTGACTTATTGCTAAAATAATATAGCTAAAAATAGATAATTTTTGCAATAAAAAACCATTTCATTAGCAACATTAGCAATTTTATGTTAACAATAATACATCAGTAATGGGTTATAATCAACAGAAACATTAAGGGGTATTAATTGTAGACTTTCAGATAGGTATAATATACCGACTTTTACTAATATTGTATTGACGAAAAACATAAACAATATTGATAAAAATATGCATATCTCTATATCCATTGACTTATTAAAAATGCTCGGTAAATATATCCCTACCAAGAAAGTCGAATTTGTCAAACAATTCGAAAAAAAACAAATAAAAACTAGAAATTTATCACTTACTTGTTTCAAAAATATCAAAAATACCGTTATGTACTGAGTACTGAGAACTTACTGATCTTTTCGGCTGCTCATTAAATAAGGAATTATTCAACTCTGACCTCTTGAATCGAATTTCAAAAAAAAATCTTAAAGTTGAAGGTCTGTAATAATACAAAATATATATAGGTACAGTATAAACATTATTATATATTTCTTATTCAAAAATACAAAAGGAAAGTATAACATTAAATGTATGTAGAAGGAAAAGCAAACTTATATTTTAATTGATATTTTGGATCTTTCATATTTTATCTTCCCATGTTGAATTGTCTTATTCATGGTTTCAAATTCCTCTTCGGTAAAGTTTTGAAATCTATATCCAATCATTTCTAAAGTAGTAAAAATAAAAACAATCACTTGTAATAAATAAAAAAAACCATGACAGTAATCTTTGAGGTAACTCTTATGACAATAATCTCTGAGGCCCCTTTATGTCCTTATTTTAAACATTTCAAATGATTATAGCATTAAAAAAATATTATTGAGAATATATAATACTGAATATTATTTGTGATTGATTTTATCATTAGATTGATATACTCGTATCCTGGTTTTATCCATGTTTTATCTATTTCAATTTTTAGTGGGCTCAAAGCTAACCTAAAACATAAAATTTAACTTAAAAACAAACTAAACAAAATTTGTTATACTTATTCATGGCTACAAACATTATTAAATCACACATAATAATAAAATTATACTTACATTTACATTCATTAAAATCTCATTCGAAAAGCATAAATAGTGATACCAAAAACGTAAAAAAACAAGTGCGTTAACCTAACCTAACTTATACGATACGTATGATCGAAGCGTCAGCGATGGCTATGAAAAGAAAATCTCTGTCATTTTATATGTAAAATTATATGGAGAATATAATCGATACTCATTTCCAAGCCAACTAGACGCCGTTTTATTCGATCTTATGGTATATTTGTTATATTATTAATTATTATTAACTTCGCGGATCTTTCATTTGAATCTTTGTTGCAATGTTGCAGAAAAAACGTTTTAATCACCATTCAAAAACAATGTTTCTGTAGCAAAGTTTCATCAATCACGACACAACGTCTACAAATCAACATTACAAAGCAAACTGTTTGGGGATTGACTGCAATGTTGCAAATGTAATGTGAGGTTTTTTGCTTGGTGGGATGATATATCATATGTCAACTTTTGACATTTTCGCTTAAAAACAAATCTTATTTTAAATATCAATCTAGAGTGTCATGACTGTGTTAAAAATACTAATTTTTAGTCAAGGGGCCTTAGAAAAATAGATTTGATCGTCTGATGTTTTTCGTGTCTTGTCCTGGCCGGTTAAAAGATACCCGAATCGTATTTTTAATGATATCTCAAATTTTTCAAATGGAACAAGGGTGGCTCATTACTATATTTGGAAAAAATATTTTTTTACGAATAATTTGATACCACACACTTGGTATGTGGAACCGCATGTTACAATTTAAAATAAACCATATTCAAAAATGTCAAAAATTGACATGCGATATGTCATTCTGTTCAGATTATCATTTTCTATCGAATAAAGTAAAAATATACCGAGGGTGCCATTTGAAAATCAAAAGTTGTAATCATTTCCGGTGAAATAGGAAGTGACCGAAAACAATTGAATTCGTCAGTCAATCTTAATCTACGTCATGTACTAACATACCAAATCTCGTTTTATTATCTGAAAAAATAAAAAAGTTACAGGGGTGAGCCACTTTTGAGACGCACCCGGTATATTATAGTTATTGATATTTTTCATTAATTTGGCAAATCTCTCTAAAAACATAGTTTTGGTAGTTGGGCCAACTTCACTGAGACAGAACAAAAACAACTTATTCGATGTCTAAAATAGATTTTTATTTGATAAAATTTTTCCTCGACAGTCAACATTTTCAGTATATTTTCGGATTTCCTTATTTTATAAAACCTTAAAACTAACTAAATTACAGTTCTAAAAAAAGAGTCTCTCTAATTCACCAGCTTTTATTGTGTATATGATATTATAATACAGGGTGGGCCACTGAAAACTTACAATGGCTATAATTTTTAAACCAAAAAAGATATCAAAAAAATAAAAAATACCGTTTCTATAATATCGAGGGGGAATACATATGACGTATTTTTTGAACCACCCCGACCTACCCCTTAGGCGGCACCCCTACTCACTTGAAAATCTTAAATGGCAACACCCCACTTGTGGCGTCTTTTTGGAAAGCTCATGAAAAATGCTAAATGATGATCATAAAGTTTTTAAGGTGAAATTGAAAAACTACCCTTACACGAACAATTAGGTGGACATTAATGAAAAAGGTGATTTTTCCAGCATAAATTACAAATTGGGACCCAGCTAAATGATGCAAATGAAGTATTTTTCAAACCACCCCAACCCACCCCTAGGTGGCACCCCTCACTTCTAATCTCAAGATAGCGATACCCCACTTGTGACACTTCAACTTAATTACTGATTTGTGACAAGAAATGTAGGTGTGACAATTTGAAAGATATTTAAAATGATAATTTATTTCAATAATTGCTCAAAATGACAGCCGTCTTGTTCCATACAAAAATACAAACGATTTTCAAATTCTTCTCTCACATTTTGGAAAGTCTCTCTCGGAATATTTCGACATGCTTTAGTTCTCCTCTGCCGCAATTCTTGTAACGAACCTGGTTTTGTCTTGTAGACTATGGATTTAGTGTAACCCCACAAGGAAAAGTCTAAAGGAGTGAGATCAGGTGACCTTGACGGCCACTCAATTAGACCCCTTCTGCCAATCCATTGCGTTGGATAATATTTATCCAACCACCGCCTTGTGACAATAGAATAATGCGAAGGGGCTCCATCTTGCTGAAAGTGTATGAGGTCTTCATTAAGAGTTATAATAAATTTCTTTGTACCAGTTTTTTTTTCTCGCAATGGTTCATGGATACAAAAATAATTCATTCTATTGATTTTGACACGTTTTGACATTTTTGTTTTATTTTTAGGCTCTATTTTTTTCGTTCTTTTTTATGACAGTCGTTCAGCATTTTTTATACGCTTTCCAAAGAAGTGTCACAAGTGGGGTATCGCTATCTTGTGGTTAGAAGTAAGGGGGTGGCACCTAGGGGTGGGTCGGGGTAGTTTGAAAAAAACCTCATTTAGCTGGGTCCCAATTTATAACTTATGCTGAAAAAATCACTTTTCTCATTAATGTCCACCTAATTTTTCGTGTAAGGGGTAGGTTTTCAAATTCACCCTAAAAACTTTATGATCATCGTTTAGCATTTTTCATGGGCTTTCCAAAAAGGCGCCACAAGTGGGGTGTTGCCATTTAAGATTTTCAACTGAGTTGTGTTGCCGCCTTAGGGGTAGGTCGGGGTGGTTCAAAAAATACGTCATATGTATTCTCCCTCGATATTATAGAAACGGTATTTTTTATTTTTTTGATATCTTTTTTGGTTTAAAAATTATAGCCATTGTAAGTTTTCAGTGGCCCACCCTGTATAACAAAAGCTGGTGAGTTTTAAAAATACTCTGCTAAAAAATTTTGAAAAATGGAGATAGAATAATAACCTGGATGGCGATGAATTTTGTCAGATTGTCATGAGCTTGGTTGGCGCTCATCAGATTTATATGATAGGTATGTTTGGGTCATAAGTCATGTAGCTTGTAGCTTGTGTCAGTAAGTGAGAGTGCCCACCAAAATGACGTAGCATCTGACGTGGCACGTGATCTGGCAAGTAACATGCATCTAGCAAGTTACGTCGAATTGAACAAACGACAATAAGTGTGTCAGCGAACACTGAAGTAGCACTGTCAGAAACGCGTCATTTGTCGTTGTAGCATGCCATGCCACTGCTTCAAAACTAGAACTGGTTCTACTTTTCGCCACATGCTATTAACACGTTACTCGAATTAGGCAAAAATGAAGGACGATCCGGACTTCAATATACGTTTTGTATCACTGATTGAGACTAAACCATGCATTTATGACCACACTCGTCGATTATTCCAACTGAAATAAACAAGACTTGGCATGGGAATAACTTTTCTAACTAGCATGTCAAAGATTTCTTTTTTCATTCTATAAAATGCTTGAAATCTTTCAGGATAGATAGATTAATTTCCTTAAAAACACTATTCCTAAACTAAACACTATCCACTGTTCCTTTATCTCTTTGTGCAAAAGGGGAGTATCCAATAGCGACGCTTTGGATAATTTTGGTTCATATTAATTAGGTTTATAACTGCTAACAAATATTCATCCTCTCTCTGAGGACAACATGTTTACGCCACTGCCACATCACTTATATGTGCGCTTCATGAAAAAGCATGCTACGCTATTGCCATATCATTGCCATGTATGTGCAACGTTATATGCTACGTGACTTTGGTGGGCGCTCTCCCTAATGTGGCATATTATGGCTGCACGCCATATTCCAAACTACTTTAATGGTATTCTGGCAAAGCATGTTAGTTCTTTCATATTTTTTCCCTAATTATTCACAAAATTTTAGGTGGAGATGGACCAAATCACTATGGAGTATGTTCCAATTATCTACAGGATCTTCAAAATGGCGAAGAAGTTTCCATATTTATCCGAAGGTTGTAAAAAAGCTAATCTTCATAAAATATAATAATATTGATATTATTTGTAGTGCCCCAAATTTCTATTTGCCAACTGATGTGTCAAAGCCAATAATTCTGGTTGGACCTGGTACCGGAATTGCGCCATTCAGAGGATTTTGGCAACATAGGTAACTAAAAAAATAAAAATAATAAAAATAAAGTGTTTATAATAATACTATGTTTTAGATGGGTTCAGTTAAAATCGAATCAAAACATTGGTAAAATATGGTTATTTTTTGGTTGTAGAACCAAAGAGATGGACCTGTATAAAAAAGAAAAGGAGAAAATGCTAAAAGATAATGTCTTAAGCAAGGTCTTCTTAGCACTGTCACGAGAACCTGACATCAAAAAGGTATTGAATAAACGTAATTGTTTTTGTCTATACAAAGGCAATTGCTAGGCTATATAACTATTAAAATTTAATGGTAACTAATACATTTGCATCTTGGCTATGAACTTAATAAAAACAGAATTTTTCTTTAAAAAAATATAATATTGATACACTAGAACAATAAGGTGACAGACTATGGCTCAGCGGCACCACCAACCCATTAGTAATAAAAAAATGAAATAAAAAAAATCTGATAAAGAAAAAACTATTTAAAATATTTCAATGCAACTATTCGAGAACACTTTAGCATAGAACTTCGTCTGTCATGTTAAGAAATGAAAGTAAATAATAAAGCGCCTCTCGTGTTTGTTCGCACTCAAAAAATTTCAATTAATGCCTGTATATATTTTTAATATATTTTTTAAATTTACATTTTTTTAATTGAAAGTAATATATTACATTTAAATGGAATATCCAAACGCAATATTTCTATTTCACAAATAAAAATTTCCGACAACACTAAAATCACTGAAACTTCCGCGACTGACAATGAAAACTGAAAAATATAACGGCACTTTTTTTTGGACCAGCATATCAACATTACGCTGTACTATTATGTGTTTGTTGTTGAAATAATATAAAATATCTAATTATAACTTGTAAATTTTAATATTTTAACATGATTTTAACTACTTTTGACAGCAACTAACTTTTTGTTATCAAGATGACATTTTAGACGGCAACTGACATATATGTCATAATATTTGAATCTTAAATATGTATGTAATAATTTAAATTAGTACCATAATGCAACTTTATACTAAGAAAACATTTATACATTCACAAAATACAATAAAGTCTAATAATATAGTTTGAAAACAATGAATATTGAATTAAAATTGAAAAAATTAAGCGCGACCCCTTGTGTCAAAATTAGATGATTAAAGTTTCGCAATTTTTACACCATTTGATGACCGGTAGCGCCTCTAGTGTTTGTTCGGGCGGTTGGTCTTTTACTCCCGCTTATGGCTATTAAAGAAAAAATTCTAAAGGGGGATGTTTTGTGCACTTTATTTTTTTTTAAACAGATACGGTTTTTATAGAAACCGTTGACGTTCTGTTAAAATGACACTATATCAAATTAAACTTCAAAACTAACAATTACTACCTGATAACAATTACTTAATAAGGTAAAACCAAAAAGCTTCAAAATGTCTATGATTATTTTTTTTTTAATTTTCAGGTATGTTATGTTTATTTATGTTATGTTCTTTAAAGAAGCGATTGCCCTACATTAATAACATCTACAGATGCATGAGCAATATATTTACTTTTATTAGATTATATTAAAAGAGCCTCTTATTTTTCTAAATATTCCGTATACAGGGTGGTCCGAACTGTATTCCGGAAACTTCGGCAGTATATTCTGCAGATAAAAATACGTAAAAAAGTTCGTATAAATATATGTGCTAAAATGCTTAGTTTCGGAGATACAGGGTGTAGAACTTTCATTTTTATCTCTATTTTTTTCAAATAATTTCTGAAGTAATGTCAATATTTGGATGAAAATTGGTGTATGGGAGTTTTTTCATATGAGAAATTTGATTTTGATGTCAATACGACTTCTATTTGTAGGGGCGACACCTACCTGTGTTTTAACTGTTTTAAAGAGTAATAACTTTTCGTCCGTACCTGTATATAACTACTGAGTGAAAAAATATAAATTTACATGATTTTCTACGTAAAAAATGCCTCTTGGTAAAAATCGCTACGAGCAACCGTTCTCAAGATATTTAGAACAGAAATAGTCAATACATATCATTATTGACAAAAAATAAACATATGTTGAGTAGATAGTTATTTGACTGAAATTATAAACTTGGGAACTTTTTTTTTAAATTAATCATAATTTTTTTTTCGAAAAGATGATGCTAAAACAGTTTCTGTTGAACTTTTGGCACAGAGATATTTCAAATTTATGATTTCAGTCTAATAACTATTTAGTCAATATGTTTAATTTATAGCAATGATGTCAAATATCTCGAGAACTATTACTTCTAGCGATTTTTACAAAGACACCTTTTTTACGTAAAAAGCGTCGTAAATGTATATTTACGACGTAGTAGTTTTATACAGGTAGTTTTATACAGGTACGGTCAAAAAATTATTAGTCTTCAAACCAGTTAAAAAATATGTAGGTGGCGCGGCGCCCTTTACAGGTAGGCGTCATATTAACATCAAAATCAAATTTCTCATGTCAAAAAACTCCGAGATAATACTTTTCATCCAAATATTGACGTTTCTCTATAAATTATTTGCAAAAAAATTGAAATAAAAATGAAATTTCTACACCCTGTATCTCCGAAACTAAACATTTTAGGACACACATTTATACGACCTTTTTCACTTATTTTTATCTGCAGAATATGTTGCCGAAGTTTCCGGAATACAGTTCGGACCACCCTGTATCAATAGACTATTATTATACCGTATGATCGAATAAAAGCGGCGTCACCGATGGCTATGAAATGAAGATCGCTGTCAATTTATATGGGAAATGTCATCGATCGTCATTTCCCAGCCAACTGGACGCCTTTTTTTTCGATCATACGGTATATGGAATACATGATGTAATTCAACCAAATTGAATTTTATTAATTAATTTCTTAAAAAAAATATTTTCTAGACCTATGTCCAGGATCTGGCTTTGGAAGAAGCGGCTGAAATTTATAAATTGTTGGTTATTCAAGAGGGACACTTTTACGTGTGCGGCGACTGTACTATGGCCGAACATGTATATCAAACGTTAAAAAAGATAATCAAGAAGTATGGTGGCATGTCTGAAAACGATGTAGAATCGTTTCTCTTATCATTAAGGGTATGGCTCCTTTAATCAATTTTAATAATAAGTAATATATTTATTTTTAGGATCAAAATAGGTATCATGAAGATATATTCGGAATTACACTAAGAACGGCCGAAATTCATAACAAGTCTAGGGAATCCGCTAGAATAAGGATGGCATCTGAACCTTAACAATAACAGCACCTTGCTATATCTAAAATATCTTTTCAATATTTAAAATAAGCCTTTATATAAGCTTTTCTTCCTTTCAACGTAATTCAATTTAAAAATACAGTTGAGGTTGCAACCTTAGGAATTACACAACACCAAAATAAAACACTAGTATATTATAGTGTTTTATTTTTCTAGTGTATTTTGCTGTTAAATGAATTTATTAAAATTTATAGCAACTAGAATGATGCTTTCACATAGTAAACACACGTGCAAAAATTACAAAAAACAAATAAAAAAAATGTGTGTGCACTATGCGCCCATATTTGAAGTGAAACTTCTTACTTCCATTTGTCTGTCTGTCCGTCTATCTGTCTGAGGACTCCATTCGTCTACCCCTATCCACGTGCCTAGTTTGGTTCTAATCGACTCATAATTAAGAAAAATCCTGATGATTTCATCCATTTAGAGGGATCGGTTCGAAACGTCGATGGCGTCATCCTGTAGCCCGTCCCCAATTATGCCGAAATCGACCCACATTCTTTTTCCACATTCTTCAATATCAATTCGGTAGTCCCATCCTGATGAAGATGTGAACGAATCGTTGTATCCAACTTTGCAGGGTGGGACCTGTGACCTGTGCACCGTCGCTCACATACCAAATTAATTTGGTCGCGATCGGACGACATCAACTTTTGATGTTTCTTAAGTCAGGTTTCCAGTGGTGGAACACTGAGGAACTTTTGTGTTGCTGTTGCTTGTTCCTAAAAAGGTTCCATAAAGTTCCTTTATATTTCTTCTTGTTTTGGTAACAAATTTCAAATGTTCCTCTTTCTTGCCGGTTTCCATTCTGAGCGGTAAACTTCAAAAGAAATTCGGCAACAGTGAGTAACATGCAGCAACAAATGCGTATTGTTGCCGCAGTGGAAACAATTATATAATAATTATTCCAGTAAACAGTGAAGGGTAAACTAGTATTTCAATATGCCGTTTAACTGGACGAATTAATTAATTGTTCAACTTATTGAAGATTATAGACGATATGAGAAAGCACATAAAGTATAAATAATATAGAAATGCAAAACATGATGCTGGTCAAAACTGGTAGAAAAAACCGGAGAAGGTACTTGGCAATAGATTTTATATAGCATAGTAATAGTAATAGCAATAGTAACTAAAATTGCATACATACCTTTACTGTATCTTCAAGAACATCTGCAATAGCTTTACAAACTTCAGGTATTATTCTACTAATTGACGGTACCGAAATTCGGAACAAAAACATCAATGAATGGTATGAGTCGCCTGTGGCAAGGAATCTTAACGTAACAAGCAATCGCTCTAGTGGAGAAATGGCTTCTCTAAAATGTGTGTCTTTTTTCTGAATGCGGGGAGTAATTTGACACAATAACCAATTCATGGTCGGTTATGGACATTCCTAAAAAAATTTTTACACTACCATTAGTTATTCTTCTCTCAAAAAAGTCGTCTTTTTTAAGAACATTGAAGAGCTGCTGGCCACCGTATTGCTTTCTTTCTTGAAAACTTGGCTTAACCCAACACGTATGCTTTCTTTTTCGTTTTCTTGTGGTCAATACTATATACTAATGTTATTTCTTCGTCTGCATCCATATTTCTACACTATGTTGCAATCAGGTGGAAACATTAGATTGCACTGCACAAATTACCAGAAACAACGTAAATGGTTTAGTCGACTAAGTGGAAACAAAAAGTTTACATGTGTTGCTTATAAGTTTAATAGAAACATGGGGCAACAGAAATGTTTCTCAATGTTCCCTCAGTGGAAACCTACCTACCTTTACGTCAAAACTAACTGTCACAGTGACACGTGTCATACACGGTCAAGTTGGCCTTGGTCCAATCTATGGACATACCAAATTTTACTTAAATCGGACAATTTTTTGATTTGATTCATGATGATCGGTTTTCGTAGTGCACGAAACGTCATCAAAATGTTATGAAAAGATGGGACTCTTTGAGTACCATCTACATTCCGAGTGTCAGCCCCCTAGCTCACATAGGGTTAGCTCCGTCGTAATCTCCGATCGTTACCACTTCTTCTGACGCTATCACGTGTGTCACGGCCTTGAATGTTTACTCCCAACGCGCGTAAAGAAGTTTCACTTCCAAAAATTGTTACTAAAAAAGTATACCTAATGGACGAATAATAAGATATATTTTAGAAAATTCGCTCTTTTTAATTTGTTCATATTATGTGCTTATACATGTATTATAACTCGCAAGTATACAGCGTGAGTCTTAAATAAGTGCAAACATTTTTTTGATGTGGTATATTTTCGATCACACATATAGGTACTAAAAAATCACACTATACTTAAGGATTTTTTCTGAAGAAAAAATTGGATATTTAATTAATTCTCTATTTTGTAATATTGTCAAAATTTAAGCAAAAAATATATATTTTTTCTAATTTTCAAAGTAAAATAACTCAAGCTATGTTGGATTTATTTAAAAAACGGTAAAGAGAAAATATGTTTCTTTTATCGTAATCTACCAGCCCTGAAAATATTTGAGCTTATTTAACTCACCCTATATATAAGGAATGGATGGATCTATATGTATAGAAGCAAGCTTTTCATCTTTTTGATAATTATAAAATTATATTAGGGACAAATACCTTTCAGAGGTATTTTGCAAATATACGAGTAGTAAAAGGTAAATTTTAAAGGAAATATTTCTACAGTCAAAAAATATCCTCTCGAAAATTCACCATCTTTATACAGGGTGTCATTGAAACGGTGTAAAAATCAGGGGGTGATAGTACTCCTAAAAATAGTAAAAAAAGTTCCTATAAGTATAGGGCGGAAAATGCATATTAAGGGAGTTAGGGGCACTCAAAGGGTGAATTTAAAAAACGGTTGTTTTGAAATTGCAGGCTTAAAAAACGAGATAAAATTTCGAAAAAAAATCCTCTGCCATAAATTTTGACCCTAAATCAAATGGCGATAGTGAAAAATTATTTGGAAAAGCGAAAAGGGTAGTTTCTGCAAGGGTAGGGGGTTATTTCGTGAATAACTTTTTTGAGGTTATTTTTTTTTTGCAACGTGGGTTCAATTTTTGAAAACTACATACTTTTTCCTACAAAAAAGGTACTCTTGTTGTGCATCGCCTAGAGCGATGGTTTTCGAGAAAATTGAAGGCAAAGAGTTTGCTCTGATGGGTTGCTAACTGGTTAATCAACATAAACTTATGAAAGTTATGGCGGTTCAAAAGTAACCAAGTGGTTATTAAATAATTAATTGAAAAATAAAAATTTCATGATTTTTAAAACGTCTTATTGCTTTGGGCGATGTACAACAAGAGTATCTTTTTTGTAGGAAAAAGTATGTAGTTTTCAAAAAATGAACCCACGTTGCAAAGAAAATAACGTGGTAAAATATACGTGGTAAATAACGGTAAAATTTTGATTTTTCAATTAATTATTTGATAACTACTTGGTTACTTTTGAACTGCCCTAACTTTCATAAGTTTATGTTGATTAACCAGTTAGCAACCCATCAGAGCAAACTCTTTGCCTTCAATTTTCTCGAAAACCATCGCTCTGGGCGATGTGCAACAAGAGTACCTTTTTTGTAGGAAAAAGTATGTAGTTTTCAAAAAATGAACCCACGTTGCAAAAAAAAAACCTCAAAAAAGTTATTCACGAAACAACCCCCTTGCAAACCCTTGCAGAAACTACCCTTTCCGCTTTTCCAGATAATTTTTCAGTATCACCATTTAATTTAGGGTCAAAATTTATGGCAGAGCATTTTTTTTCGAAATTTTATCTCGTTTTTTAAGCTTGCAATTTCAAAACAACCGTTTTTTAAATTCACCCTTTCAGTGCCTCTAACTCCCTTAATATGCATTTTCCGCCCTATACTTATAGGAACTTTTTTTACTATTTTTAGGAGTACTATCACCCCCTGATTTCTTTTACATCATTTCAATGACACCCTGTATACTGTTACCATCGAATTTTTGATCGATTTCGTCCTGTTATCATGTAATAAATCTGTCACTCTCTATTGACCACTTTTGTTATTATATTCGATGGGGTGACAGGTCGAAAGTAAAGTTTTAAAAACTCTTCTCTATATCAAAGAAGTTCTTAATAATAATAAGAAAATATCTGTCTATTGAGAAATCATACATATTCACAATATAATTAGCTCCATATTTAAATCTACGATGTTTCGCATATTTTAAAGGTAGTAATGTAAGTATAAATGTAATCTTAGGTCTAATTAACAAAATCAAATATTTATTCTAAATTTTAAACCTTTAAAAATATTTAATGTAAGATTATAAACGTTCTCAAATAAATTATATTCAATGATATAGTAGATTTAAACTTTTAACGTTCAAAACTGATACAGAAAAGTAGTAGTTAATTTTTATCGAATCATTCCAAAAGTTATTGGAAAATTTATAACTCCCCTGTATAAACTGATTTCACTATTTTGTCTTTAATTACCTATTTGGTATTATTTTTTTAAGTTTTTATTGAATATTATTTAAGTTTTAGGTTTTACATTTAATTTAACAGTTAGTCGATATTTATTATCAAAATTAAATATATACAGAGCGAGTCTTATATACAAGTGCAAATCTTTTAAGGAGGTATATTTCAACCCCAGGGAGACGTCTATGCGGTTTCCTAAGTGTCTTTCTTCCACAAATAAAATTGAAAATCATTTACTTTCTTTTAATTATTCCTGTATATTTTAGAAAACTTTTTAGAACTGCCTGTTCACCCTAAAGGTTCACCCCCAATTTTCCCATGGTATGATTTCTTAAGCTTCATTCAGAACCTCGCAATTAGTGGTTTCGATATTGTTCCTTTAATTTCAATGTAAGCATTCAGAACGTAAAAATTAGTGGTAGTCTTTTTCAATCAGTAGACAAACTTTTGACTTTTCCACTAATTATACTTCAAAATTTGTGAGGAATGTCATTTTCGCCTTTGATTATCATCCGTCAAGAGAAATTGTGGTTAAAAATCAAAAGTTGATTGTTTTATAAGCTAAATATTAAGCTCCCTCTATGGATACAACTGACAACCGCAAGTTGTTGCTAGAATACTCTATTAATTTTAATCGCTGTTTTTTAGACATTGTGAATGCTCGTAAACTGAAAAGTACCGTATGATCGAAAAAAAAAAGCGGCGACAATGCGATGGCTATGAAATGAAGATCGCTGTCATTTTATATGTAAATTTATATGGGAAATGTCATCGATCGTCATTTCCCAACCAACTGGACGCCGTTTTTTATTCGATCATACAAAGTGAAATGGAACGGAATGTGAATGATCGTAAACTGAAAGTATAAAGTTCCAAGTTCAAAAAATGTTAGCTATAGGGTGCATCTGTTATCACAGTTTAAAGAATATACAGGGTCGCTTTTAGGTATGTATGGAAACGGTCGATTATTAGGTAATATATACGAGGTACCGCAAAAAGTTAAATATAAAAGTTATAGGGTTTATAAAAAAGATCTATTAGCAGGTAATAATTTTAAATATACAGGGTCGGTAATAAATTCGTGGCACATCAAAGTTTCATTTTTTTAAATGGAACCCCCTATATATTATTGCATATTTCGGTTCTTCCTTCAATTCTAAGCAAAAATCGATATACACACAATGTACCTCAAACCAAAACCGTTTCCGAGTTATTGACTTTTGAAAATATCACTTAAACAATTTGATTTAATTAATTTCGATTCGAAATTAGATTCATTTAACGATGTCATTCCTCCGAAATTGTGATACTTGACATTAGTGCTCAAGTTAGCATTTATAGATGTATAAAATGAGAGTATATCAAGTCTGGAAATTACAAAATTTTCGTTTAACATTTCAATTCTTCAATTTATGTACAAATTTATGTGTATTACGATTATTGCTTAAAATTGAAGGAAGAATTGAAATATGCAATAATATACAGGGGGTTTCATTTAAAAAAATAAAGTTTGAGAGTGACACAACTTTATGACCGACCCTGTATTCTTAAATTTACTAGTAGCTAACAGGAATTTAAAACCCATTACAACAGTATCACAGTTTCGGCAGAATGGCATCATTAAATCAAACCAAACACATCGAAAATAATTAAATCGAATTGTTTAAGTGATATTTTCAAAAGTCAATAACTTGGAAACGGTTGGTTTGAAGTACATTGTGTGTATTTCGATTTTTGTTTAGAATTGAAGGACGAATTGAAATATGTAATAATATACAGGAGGTTCTGTTTAAAAAAATGAAACTTTGATGTGCCACAACTTTATGAACGACCCTGTATACTTAAATTTATTACTCGCTAATAGATATTTAAAAATCCCATAACTTTTGTATTTAACTTTTTGCGGTACCTCCTATATTTTACCTAATAATCGACCGTTTTCATACATAAAAGCGATCCTGTATACCCACGCCTTTGAAGTCAAAATAACAATAGAATTCCTTGGAGTAAGCCAACTGGTATATATTCTCTAAACTGTGCTGTTATGACCAATAAAAAAAACAGATTTTTCTCAAAAATATGCGCATGAAGAGGTATTTTAAATATCGCTATTGTAATCAATTAAAAATTTGTAATAAAAGAAGAGAAGTATAAAGTGTAATTGAAACCACTAATTTATTTCACTATAAGTGCGAGGTTCTGGGCTGCGTTCAGGTATTGCGGACGACAGTCTGTTTGGACGTGACGTAACAACCTAAAGTTGTTTGTTCTTATTCCACTACATTAAAATTATATTAAGATGTCTCTCTCTATAAGAATATCCTTTATTTTAGAACGTTAACGGA